AGCGGCCCCGCGGAAAGGCGGCCGCTTTGCCAGGCGGTAATTAAATGGCAGCAACGCGGAGAGGGCTCCCACTTCCCATCACAGCATTTGGACAGCCGCAAGCTCTCGCCACGCTCCACCCCGCGTGCCGGCACGCTAAGTTCTTTGTCGTCTCCTCCCTGGGACAGTTACGTGCCGCACCTCAGAGATCGGGCGTGCAGGTAGGAGTTGAACAGGACGGTTGGCGGGTCTGTTCCACATCCCGCACCGCCAAGGAAGACACGAGACCCAGGTAGGACCGCAGAGCCCGGCACAGCTCCCAGCACCAGGCTGGCGCTCGTGCAGGATGCGGAGCCACCGCGGCTGCCCAGATGGAGAGTTCCCCGCGGCATCCCAGCGCTGCGCTCCCTTGACCCGTGTTTTCCTAATGGCTTGAGAGGGATTCTACAGGAAACCCTTATTTACTCCTGCAGCTTTTTCCGCTGACCCCAGTTTGTGCAGCTAACTCGCCTCTTTTCACAAGCACATGTGGATGGGTTTATGCAAATGACACGAAAGTTGGCACGCTTTGTATGCGGCTCGCTAGGCCTCTCTAATTGGATGCTACGGCCCAATCTGATTTCCATTTGCTTGCTGTAGATTGCACACCCGTGTGGACTGGCTTGGCTGGATTTGAGTAAAACATTGTTGGGATGAGCATTCTATTTTAAATATATAAGTATAGACCCCGGTTCACTCTTACCCATTTTTAGACCTCATCATGTGCAGCTCTGAAGCCACCACACGTACAGATTGGGTGCCTGCAAGTTCAAGACAGAATCTGAATAGTATTTCCAAAACAAGATCAATGCAGACTTTGCCCAAAACAAAGGGACACGCAAAGTGCAAGAGGAGCCCAGCTCCGGCACGTAAGCCGCTAGGGCTTACAGACACCCCCATCGCCAATAAATCCGTTAACACCTTTATGGATGTCACTGTTCTGGACACTTCCACTGTCTGGAACTTCGGAGGCAGCAAAGATTAAATCCGCACCTAAATCACCACCTCTCTAATCCCTGTGCTTTAACTAGCCGAAAAAGATCAGCAGCTCCAAAGGCTCTGTGCCACGCGTTCATAATTATCAAACACGGTAGCCATTCCGGCGCAATTCTTGCATGATAGGGACACGCAGGACGCTGTGGGAGAGCCCTCGTTTGCGTGAGCAGCACCTCCTTACTAATGGCCGTAAGCTTCCCGGTGGGAAGCTCTGAGGTACGCCTGGCCTGGGGGCTGCGCTCTGCGAGAGCGCTGATGCTTTCCACTGGGAATGACAGTGTTTGTCTAATCGCTGGTAGATGCTTAAGCCGATCAGCAATGATACATTTAAAATCAAATATTTGAGCAGCCAAAAGTACCAATGGCGGTCAAATATTTGACTTTAGAGATAAGAGTGATCTTGCTGACATTGTTCTCTGTGGTTCTTGGGTCCTACACTGTGTGCAGCCCGAGCGCAGGGAGAGTCCCGGGCGGCAGACAAAGGATGTTGAAATAACGATAGCAAAATTTGCACTTCTGTTTCCATTTCGGTAGAGAGGAGGGAACCTTTAGGAAAGATGTGAGTACCTAATGGCAGGGAGTTAACTCTGGGGAAGAAGCTCTGCTCCGCGGGTGTCGTTATTTACTGCATAACTTTCATCAGCGGGACCGCAGCGCTCCCGTCCCACGCTTCCTGCGTAAGCAAGAGACACCTTTGCAGCCCATGGAAGCTTTACAGAAAAGGAATTAATGTTCAGGTCCCTGATTATTTTGGATACAAAGGAGTGGACTCGATCCATAAACCATGAAATAAAAATTACATTTTGGATATGTCTGTTCCTACGTGAGAACTTCTTATAGAGCAGGTTTTACCTCTCTGTATAAACTGTAGGTAATCAATAATCGACATCCCGATGCGATGCCATGACTGCAGCGGGTGTATTCATTCGTTTCGACCTGCTGAGTCTTGTAGTTGGCTTAGAAATCCAAAAGTGTTCTTTATGCAAAATACTTAATTATTGTTTTATATAGTTGCTGTCAGCATCCCATCGTTTTAAGAAGGACAGGTGGAATTATTACCAGCAAGGCACATTTTGGAGGTTTATCTGTACTGTTTTGTTCCCTTGTCAACAGTGCATGCCAGGACGAGTTTAAAAAGGACACAGATCTCTAATAGCTTTCTTCATCACTGTGCACACCTTTCATCCCATTATAGTCATCAGTCTTTCATCTTTATAGGACAAAGACGGGCTTGTTTATGGACAATTTAATGAATTAGACCAGCCACTCACTCCCGTATATAGTCAAATACACCGCCTGCTTTGATACGTACAGTTTTCTATTGACATTCAGGGAAAATTAGAAGATCTGTTGTAGAACTGATTTTTTTTGGAGACTTTCGACAACGATCCCTTTTAAAGCAGAGCTGAATTGCTAAATGCAGACTGTAGTAAACTGTGTCCTACTTTTGTAAGAGATACTCTGCGAGCATTGCGTTTCACAGGTAGGCTTTTATTACTGTACTAGAGTCGTCACAATGAGGAAGTGTTGCAGCATAATAAAGTCTCATCTTAGAATGGAGGAAGTAAAAGTGAGTAAAGAAATAATACTTTTAAATTTGAATAAATAAAGCATGCTATTCCAGGCTTCCAAATGCTATCTACAAATACGCTTGTTTGCTTTATTCTTATTCTTCATCTATCTAGAAGAAGATTTACGTTGCAAGAGGTACTGGGCTACACAGTAAAAAAAACCCCAATGACCACCCCCCCTCCCCTTGATTTCTGCGGAGATACTGTCTATATTTATTCCGGAGAGTTTATACTGGGCATTGGTAGGGAGGAACCAGAATACAGGTGCCCCATTTCAGGGTTATGTTGCAGAGAGCTCTGTACTGAGCATGTAATGTTACTGTAAAATCTTGACAATTAATTAGATTTAGATTTATAACCAGTTAATTCGCAGGCTGCATTTTGTCTTAGCTTACACCTGTGCTAAGATGGATGGGGAATGGATTTGTGTCAAGAATGAAGTTACATGTAAATCAAAAGAGAATTTAGCCACAGTGGTCTGACTAAGTTAGCGATTAAATTGCTGGCTAATTTTATAAAATTTGTGGCTATAGTTTCAGTATTTGGAATTTTGTTTCAGATCTTGTCCAAGTACAGTTTACAAATGGATCCATTTTAGGAACTGAAAAAATGCAAAGCATTCTTTGCACAAGTTTAATTTCAAGTTTATAAACAGCAGCTAAGGAGTAAACATCCTCTGGATTACTTAGACCCTCTCTTCTAAAAATAATGGAGTTGTCCTTATGTGGGTAATCTTGCCTTGGTAAACAGACTTGCTTAGAATATTTTTAAAAGAGTCGGCACAAGTGATACGTAATTTGTTAATTTGTCTCGTGGTTGATTATAAAATGAACAACACTGTTCAATCCTGGCAAAAACTAAGGGGGGGGGAAATTAGTCATTCTTGGAAGGAGCACATGAAAGTGGCTTTTGTTAATGTAAATCAAGAAGCTGAAGAGCCCCCAAGTTTCCTTTTATTTCATACCATCTGGCTGTCCTTTTTGTTGACAAGTGTTTGGCATAGAGAACCATCTCTTTGCCCTTTAATAACAGGCTTTAACACTGTAGGGTATTAGAAAAAGATTCTATAACAGTTAAAAAATTTCCTTCGGGGAATACTTTATAAAGTGAGCACGGGCTGCAGGCATTTGCAGCTGTAACCTGGCTTGTGTTAAAATTTGGAAGGGGCTGCCTTGCATTCCAGCTCACTACAGGCCTTCATTGGTGTTCAGCCAAAGGTTAATATAGATGTCACACAGTTTTTCTTTGGAGAGCCTCAGATATAAGAGTACGCGTACAGCTGTGTTTTTAGTAACCCTTTCATAATCACTTCTTTTAAACCTCATTTTCCTGCTTATATAAATCAAAGATTTTCAAGGATATTTGACCTGGATTTGAACTTACTTGATCTTCACATATTTCCCACTTGAAACAAAGCAGATTAAATGTTAGCCCTGGATGCCTGGTTGTGATCACATGGTTCATCCATACATTAGGCCAAGCCCTCGGCTTTTTTTTTTGTATCCTCCTCCACCTAGCACTGCTTGAAGCTCTCAAGCCTGAACAGGTACATGCTGTAATTGTTTTGGACAGTATGGATATATGCAGCCCTCGGTGGTAGAAGATTAGCTAAGGTAGAAAGCTTGCAGCAAGCTAAAGGTATGAAGTACACTGTCTGTGCAGCAAGTAACCAGCAGGTATTCTTTGAACGTATGGACCTATTCTAGAGAGAAATTAATTAATTTTCTAATTTTCGGGTGCAAAATGGCAGAACAGAACAGGAACTATTGACCTCTGCCACACGGTTGCGGTGGTAGCAGAGAATGAAGCAGCTGAGGGCAAATGTCCTCACGCAAGGAAAAAGGACATGGGAATCGTCCCCATCCGCTCGCACGCTTCGACGGCAGATTTACCCCAGAAAAAGGTTCTTTCCTCCGTTCCCACACAGGCTGTCCTGGGGAGGTGAAGCCCCCACCGGGAGCTGTAGTTTAAAAGCCAAAACACAAGGGCTTGTAAAGGGCTTTGAAGGAGACAAGCCTTGATGGCCAGGTCTTGTGATGCTTGTAACGGGAGCTGGGTGCAAGTGAAGCGTACAGGACCCGCTCCCACCCGAGCCCTGCTCGCCGTCGTGTGTGTGCATCCCCCCATCGCCCCTCTTGTAAAGGTGCTTTAAAGGCCTCGGGGCAGGCAGCATGAAACCAGGCGTTAACGTTTTCGTCTGTCAAGAAGTTTGAAACACGTTTTCGGGTAGGGGGGGAAGGATGTGTGAGAGAAGGTTACACAAGTGGTTGGAAACATTAATTAAAAAAAAAGATTATAACTATTAAAGCCTAGTCAGAGCTGTTGACAGGCTCCTTTTAAATGGGACACTGCGATGTTTTAGTTTAATACATTCTGGCAGTGTCACCGGGGTTAAGGCTAATACTGGGATGTGTGGATCCTGTCATGTTATTGTCAGGAGGAATGCAGGGATTAGGTTTAAAAGTGGCGGTGGGCGAGTGGTGCAGCTGTGTACACTTATTATAAAAGATTTAAGTCCCACTGGTAAAATCAATATATTAAATTGCAAAAGCCTCTGTTTTTAATTAGTTTAAATCAAATATACTGTTAGTGCCATTATGGGTTCTGTCCTTGAACCAAGTGAGGAAATGCTAATATTTATATGGAAACTGTTAATTTGTGGTTAAAATGATAACACATTTAGTTTTATGCCTCTAAATTGTTCTAACTGGATGAATACCAGTGAGAAGTTGCAATGATGGATGAAGTCATCTGAGCAAGAACACAAGTAAGCAAATTTTGATGGC